TTCTTCTGAAGGAGGTGGAGTTCAGCTGAGTTTTAAAGAAGCCGGGGATCCTAAAAGTGGGAGATTAGGAGGGAGAGCAAGCCAGGTATGCCAGGGGAATAACCAATGCAAAGACACAGAGAACGGCGATCAAGTGTTACAATCAAGAAGAATAGCAACACAAATGGATCATAGAGCTCTAGGATGGAGGGGAGCAGAATATCAGAAGACTCCTTTTTAAGTAGCAACAAGGGCTAGCTTGTGAAGAGCTTAAAACGCTAAACAAAGAACTTCACTTTTTTTTTCTTGGAAATCCTAGGGAGCCACTGGAGTCTGCTGAGGGGTTGAGTGGAGGGAGTGAATTTAGTAACATCACTTTGGGAAGATGGATTTGAGTGAAAAGAGACGAGGCAGGGAGACCAATAGAAAGCTCTTTCGATAGTGCAGGCAAGACTTGATAAGTGCCTGAACAAGGGTGTCAGCTGTGTGAGTGGATAGAGGGGATATACTTGATGTGGTAGAGGGAGAAAAAAAATCACTAGATCTGACAACTGACTGAAATTTTTTTTAGGTATATTTACAGCTATGTCATCCTGTGGCCTTCAGGAACTCTGAAAACTGGAAAAGATGCTCCCTTTTCTTTCACTAACTGTGCTGATGCACCTATGTTCTTCTCTGACCAAGCAAGACTCATGCTTTGAAAAATACTTTCCTTGTGGCTACAGTAGTAACTTGAAAATCAGTTTAATAAACGCACTCTGACCTACATTATTTGTCTCTGACTTATTTTTCTCACTGGTATTCCAGCAGGACAACTTATAATAATAAGCACAATGGGCTTTAAGTTCCCTTTTTGCTATATTGCTAAATGCAAATAATCTGAAGTGCTAGATGAAGGGAAGTCCTCTGATAATAACAATCCTGAACAGTACATGAAGTATATAAAGAAATTCAGTAAGGCCAGATAAATAAAGCTTGAGCAAAGCTGGCAAACAATGTGTTTCCTCTCAAAACTGCACTTTGTTTCCCTTCCATTTTTCCCCATTAATTTTAATACAGGCTGGAATCCGATTTTAAAAATAGTCATAATATGTAGTTGTGGTCACCAAAGGCAGACAATAATATGATGGTATGCTTTATTTCAAAAGGGTTGCTACTGACATGACCTTTGGGCCATAAAAAATGCTCCAGACTTAAAAACTGCCATGCTTTTATGCTTCAGTTGGAAAACGTCACCAATAAAGAAGCAAGCATCTACGATGACTTGGAAAAGTCCCATTTTTGCTATAAATAACATATTAAAATCCATAATTAATTTTTAAGAAATAGCAGATATGGCAAGTATATTATTTTCTTGATGAATTTTTCTGAGGGAAAAATTATAGAAAACCTTTACAATTCAGGGAAAGCAAATAAAAGTATAATGAAGACTCTCAAATTCCTCAGTGCTCATGGGTCCAAGATGGGCACGAATGCAAGCATCTTCTACCTTTCTCATCCACTGAGGTTCTTTTCCATGTTCACTCCATAAATTCTCTACCTGTCATGGTGAGGTACCAATTCTGGGGTCTCAAATTTCTGTACAAGCTCTAGTAAGTCCTACCAAGGTGAAAAAACTTTGAGTACTAGCCACGAAACAGACTATAACTGAAGACCAAGGACCCACCTAACTAAACAGAGAAAAGCTCATTCAATTCAATTCAACACAACATTCATTAAGTGCTTACTAGGAGCAAGGAGCTGCTAGGCTAAGACACAAAAATGAGGGATTTAATTTTTTTCCAACACCCAAATCCTCAATAATTTTCCAAAATAAATTATCAGTTTTATCTAAGATCTCCTTTAATGTTATATTTGTAATATCATTCATATATATATATATATATATACACACACACACACACACACACACACACACACACATATGGTACTTTTCTTAGCATAGCTTAAAATACTATATAAGCATTCTTTATGTCTTCAACATGGACACAAAATATTCTAAATATTACAAAATCCTAATAGAATTTGAAAATTCACTAGACTTTTAGCAGGATACTCATAGAATGGTAAATAAATAACTACAATGAAATGGCCCAAGCTTACCAAGGCTTACTTAAAATAACTTGTTTCTTCCACACCTCCCACCCCATGTACTTTTTTTCTGACTCTGAAGACTGAGGAGTTTCAAAGGACTAGATAGGGGAACAAAGGGACAGCATGAGGACTGGAAGGTTATTGCTTGCCAATCATTACTTATACCAGTTCTTAGTGGTCTTCTATTCAAAACCTTTAAGTAATTCTCTATTATCTAGTGAATAAAATCCAAACCTCTTAATTAGAGGTTCAAAACTTTCTATAATCTGGCATCAGCCTACCTCTCAATCTTGTCTCTACTTCTCCCAACTTTATACTTTCCCTAAATTGAACTACCATTCAACATTTCCCATGTACATCCTGTACTTTCCTACCTCTCTATATGCACTTTCTTATGCCATTCTCTATATTTAGAATGTTGTCCCTTCCTATAATCAGCTAAAGGAGGCAGTAGTAGGGGGAAATGGAGAGGAAGACACAAAAGAGATTCAAAGGAAAAACTGACAAAACTGAAGAAGGGAGAAATAATAAATTTTGTTTTCAGACATGTTTTCAGGGCCTTAACTGAAGAGATGTCCAGTTAATATTTAGGACCAAAGTTTGTGGAACAGGTCAAGACAAGATATATAGATCTGAGTCATTTGCCTAGAGATGATTGTTGAAGTTATAAGAATGGATGAGATCAAAGATGACACTTCAGAGAGGGGAAAAAAAGCACAAAAGGCAGAAACCTGGAAAACAGATATATTTAAGGGAGAGGAATAAAAAAAGGAACAAGACAGAAAAAGAGAGTTTAGAGAGGTAGGAAGAAAACTAGAATACTGCTATGTCACAGAGGTCAAGAGAAGAAAGAATTTGAGAAAGGAGTGGTCGACAGTATCAAATGCTGCAGAAAAGTTGGGAAACAATAAGGACTGAGAAGAGAGCACAGGATTTAGTGATAAGGAGGTCAATAGTAACCTTCCACAGAGCAGTTTCAATTGAGCAGGGAGAACAAAAGCCAGGTTTCCAGGGATTATGGGGTGAGCAGTGATAAAGACATAAAAGGCTCTAAATTCTTAATTGAGCAATAAACCTTACCTTCAGAGGCCTCTGGAAAATACTAGAAAGTGTTATTTTAAGCTTAAGAGCCTCTTTGTCCTGATAACAAAAGTATAAAATAGTTCTAGGAAGGAAGGACAGCTGCAACCCTCTTTGAACTGCTCCTTTCCTTTGAAGCCAGCTTGTTCCTGACCCCTCTTCAAGCTGTAAACTGAATTCATGGGACTTTCACATCTGTGTGGATATTTAGAAAACTTTAGATGAACTTTTACTCTTTCAGGAGAGGGAGCTAATTCTAAATTTCAGCCTCATGGCTCTGGGCTCTGCAACAGTAGTAAAGAACTTGTTCCTAAGCATAATTTACCATTAGTGGAATTTTTTCCTCAGCAGCCGAATAATAAAAAAAAGCAGGGGCAACAAGTACAAATTAATCTTCTGGGTAGTTTGGCAGTGAAGAGATGATAGAAAGGCCAATAGCTGGAGGGCAGTAATAAGATTGAGGAAAGGTTATCTTAGGATAAAGGAAACTTGAGCATGGATTACAGAAAGACAGTAAAGCAGAAAGAAACTATAAAAGACTCAACAGAGGAGACTATTAGAGACAAATTCCAAAAAAGGCAGGAGAAGATAGGACAATCAACAAAAACCAGAAAACGTTTGCTTTGGGAAGGAGCTACTTCTTGCTCAGAAAGAAAAGCTAAGCTGGCGAGGAAGATAAAGAGAGGTTTTGAGGTTGAGAAGTTGTGAGAACTCATACTGTACTGCCCAAATGTCTGAAAAAGTATGAAACAAAGCCACCTGCTCAGCAGCAGGGAAGCAAGGTAATGGCTAAAGACTTGATAGTAGAAAAGGTTTAGGAATAGTTAATACAGAAAACTGGCTATTAATTCTATAGGAAATGCAAAAAAATTCTGCCACACAGCACTGAAGACTACTGAGGTCGGATAGTATGAATATGTAATAAAGCCAAGCAACATAATTGTAGGACTTTTCTTTAGCCTTGCTCAGCAACCTCTAAGTTGATAGCAGGGGTTACCCAGGACTTGGGATTAACAAAGCAACAATGATAAGACAATCAAGTGGCTGAAACAGCAGTAAGTAGACTGTAGAAATAGCTGATAATGAAGTTCAAGCTGAGAAGGGAGGCAACTGGAGTCAAAATGGGAGGTGAAGGACAGGGATAAACAGAGAAGGTTCAAAGAACCAGAGTTCACAATTAAGACAAAGAAGAGGTTCACTATGTAAGAGGGTGAGGTAGGAGAAGGGGAGATGATGGTCAGGAACGGCAATTTCAGAATTCAAGATTTTTGAAGCAAAGAAATTCTGAGTAACAGTGAAATCTAAAATACGAGTGTGAAGTATGAGTAACCGGAACACAACTGCAGCTGAGTTTATATATTCACCCTGTCCTCATGATCTAGGGCAAAAATCGAGTTGCTGGTTAAGGTTAAAGATGAAGTCTGTACCCTTGCAACAGCATGAAACTAACTGGCCACCACAGAGACCAAAGTCATTCCTTTAGCCTTACTATAAGCACAGTGCTTTAACCAAGTAAGTGAACTAGCCACAAAAAAGGAAGAGGCTGGCCTATTTAAAGCATAAAGGGAGAGACAACACATTTCATATCCTTTAGTTCTGCTGCACAGAGCCTGGCACAATAAGGATCGCCACTGATTACAAAATTACAGAATTTTAGAGATAATTTAGTCTTATGCCATTTGGCAGATGAGGAAACAAACCCAGAGAGGTTAAGCAAAGTATATAAGTTTATATAACTAGTTAATGGCAGAATTAGAGCTAGAACCCAAATCTGGCTCCCAAATCAATGTTCTTTCCTATACAACTACATGTCAATAGTAATAACACATGAAATAACAGAGGCATACCGATGTACTGGCTGTTGTATCCTGGAATGTGAAGGTGTACCTTCCTGCTGTGGCTCACTTAAGGAGAAAGAGTGTTTTAAATCTGGCACAGTGATAGATTTTCCAGATGAATTGACTTCTGCCTAAAAGAAAAAGATAAACATACATATATATGTACATGTGTGTACATGTATGCATACATACATATATGAAGAAGAGACACTGCAGACTAATCCATGAACTTAATTTTATCTGTTTTAATCTCTTCAGTGTTTACTATCATATTTGGAGGATACAAAAGAAAACATGAGATATGTTTTACTCTCCAAGAGCTTACAACCTAATTAGGCAAACAAGAATGACAGAGAAGAAACAACCAAAAAATTACTAAATGCTAACCTGTGTGGTAATAGCTAACTACAACAGAGAAAGAAAATACAATCAGTGTGTAATGGGGTAGCCAAGGAAAGCTTTAAGAGGGTGATTTGGGGCTTTGATGTACACATAGATTTGAACAACTGGATAGGAAAAAGGCAAACATAGGTTAATACCAATTTAAATGCCTTAAATAACTATTTCACAAACCAGAGTTTTAGGAATGTCACTATTTTTTGTTGTTGTTTAATCTCATCAAATATTTCAGATCTTCCATTTGAACAGATTAACCCATCAAACTCTTATAATTTTCTAAAACAGTTCCATTACTTCAGCTGCACAATCTTGTTTACCATATACCTAAATGACTTCCTTGATAATAAGTGTTTATTTGTGCAATATATCTAAATGGTACTCTAATGAAAAATTACACATATCTGCCAAACTCTTTTGTTCCTAAGACAAATTAGAATTGTGCAACATTTATCATAAATTTGGCATTTAGGTGTGACTATCTAATAATAAACATTTTTAATACTCCCACATTATAACAAAAAGGAAAACAAGTTTAGGGTTCGATTTTAGGTTTCTTAAATCAAGTTTTTCTCTTTTTTAAAAATTTATTTATTTTTAGTTTTCAACATTAACTTCTCCAAGATTTTGAGATTTAAATTTTCTCCTCCTCCCTTCACTCCCCCCTCCCCAAGACAGTATGCAATCTGATATAGGCTCCACACATACATTCATATTAAACACATTTTCACATTAGTCATGTTGTAAAGAAGAATTAGAACCAATGGGAGGAACCACAAGAAAGAAGAAACAAAACAACAAAAAAAGGAGACAGTAAATAGTATCCTTCCATCTGCATTCAGACTCCAACGTTCTTTCTCTGGATGTGGAGAGCATTTTCTATCATGAGCTTTTTGGAGTTGTCTTAGATCCTGCAATGCTGAGAAGAGTCAAGTCTGTCAAAGTTAGTCACTGCACAATGTGGCTGTTACTGTGTAAAATGTCCTCCTGGTTCTGCTCACTTCACTCAGCATCAGTTCATGTAAGTCCAGGTTTTTCTGAAGTCTTCCTGCTCATCATTTCTTATAGCACAATAGTATTCCATTACATTCGTATACCACAACTTGTTCAGCTATTCCCCAACTGATGGGTATCCACTCTATTTCCAATTCTTTGCCACCACAAAAAGAGGTGCTACAAATATTTTTGTACATGTGGTTCCTTTTCCAATTTTTATGATCTCTTTGAGATACAGACCTAGAAGTGGTATTGCTAGGTCAAAGGATATATACATCATTTTATAGCCCTTTGGACATAGTTCCAAACTGCTCTCCAGAATGGTTGGATCAGTTCACAATTCCACCAACATTAAATCAAGTTTTTCAAAGACATCTGCTTAATACAGAAATACGAAAAATACCCACAGAAGGGTCGCACCTCAGCATTTTACCCACAGGACAGCACCCTCAGAAGATAGAAGCTCAGTTTTTACATAAGGAGCTAAGTACCTGATGGGTTTTAATGGGGGTGAGGAAAATGAGAGTAGAGAAGAAAATGGTGAAGATGGCAGTCAGATAAATATAAAAAAGCCATATTAAAAAAAATAGAGTAGAACTGGAGAAGTAACTTTCAAAACAATGGCTATGGAGAAGTTCTTAAACAATGGATAAAGGAAATTATAAAAGATGGAAAATTATACTTACACAAAATTTAAAAACTTTTGCATAACTGAAATCAATATAACTAGAATAAGGAGATTGCAGAGTAGGGGAAAAATATTTGTGTCAAACACATTTTTCTATGATATACAAGGAATGGACTAAATTATATAAGATAGAGTCATTCCCAAATAGATAAGTGCTCAAATGAGCAAAGAGTTTTCAAAAGAAGAAATGCAAAATATGAGTAACCATATAGAAAAACACTTCACTGCAAATTACAAGTAAGGTTTCATGTTATATCTTCAAATTAGCAAAAATGGTAAAAGACAAAAATAATGTTGAAAGGGTTGTGGGAAGTCAGAAAACACTAAGAAATTGCTGATGGAGCTGTGAATTCATCCAACCATTCTGGAAAACAATTTGGAATTACATAAAGAAAGTTAATTCATTGTTCATGACCAGCAATCCCACTACTGGCATTTACCCAAAGGGGGTCAAAGATAAAAACAAAGGTTCCATATATAACAAAATATTTGTAGCCACACTTTTTATGGTAGCAAAACACCCTCAAGAAACAAAAAGAATGTCTGCTGAAAGGAGGATGGTTAAACAAATAATGCTACATGGTATTATTACTGTTAATGGTATTATTGGTATTAACGTATGAACTGGAATAGTTAATGATAAGAAATGACAGTTATGAAGAATTCAAAGAAAAATGCATTCATGTGAACAGATGCCAATGGAACAAGGCAGAAAAAGGAAAACAATGTAAACAATTATGATATAAATGAAAACACAAAAAAGGTAGCTGAACTCAGATTAAGTACAATGACCAATAACAATTTCAAAAGGTTAGGTAGAAAGAGTTTTCTCCCTCCTTTTGGTAAAGGAAGGATTTAGGGAAGAATGTAGATGTGGAAAGACAGTTGTATTGGTCAGTATTTGAGGGGTTGGAGATTGTTAAGACATCAATAATTTAGTTTTTAAAACAAAGAGTAAATCAGGCTCAGGCCAACCACAGTGGTAGAGATCCTAAACCCTCTACATTCTAGGTGTGTCAAAGATGTTAGGTAAAGAGTATGAAGAACTGGCAGCGCAGATGGAAATAAAACATAGATGGAAAAACAGAGCAGAAGCAATAATAAAGAAGACTGAGGAGAAGGAAGACAAGGCTACATTGATGGTGGGAGTTGATTCAAGGTCATAGGAACAGATCAAGTAGAGGGGATAGTCTGGTAAAGGATAAAGAAAATAAACTATTTTGTGAAGAAACAGATGAGCAAGTGCTCCTGGTAGCCTGAAGCAGGGTATACTCAGACAGTTCATTTTTCTTGGAAGCTACGGAGCCTTTCTTGCTTCTTCTATGTATATTACTTTTCTGTCTCTCTCTCTCTCCTTTCTGCTTTTCTCATCTTGCTCTCTGTTTCTCCTCTTTCTCGATCTGTTCTTTCTCTTTCCATTTGTATGCTACTTTATGCTACTCTATCTTCCTCTCCATTTCTTTGTCTCTCTTTCTCTTTCTTATCGTTCTCTCATCCCCTCTTTTCTTTAGACTGGCTATAATATGAAACTAAAGTATACTTTTTAATATCATTTGCTCTTCACCCTTGCTGTACTGGGTAAATATCTAGCAAGAAAACCCTACCTATTAAAGCAACAGCAGTACTTAAGATGAGAAATTCAAGGTTTCTTCTTCCAACTCTGAAAATTTCCTTAACTAGATATGTTTTTATTATAAAACTGATTTCTTTCTAAAAATTATTTCCCAAGACCTCACATTAAACATAAATACTTTCATTTTCATATAGATAGTTGCCCTCCATAGCATCTTAAAAGACACATAAAACTGGTTTAAGTTCGTAAGTTACACAAGCAGGGAAAAAATCACTAAATTTTGCCAAAAACAAACCTCCCTATTCAGCCCAATCCAGACAGCCTCATCTATCTTACCACCTGACAGTCTTTGTCTTCTACATTAACTACCTAAGATTCTTTTATTTTTGACACTTGATAAAAGCTATCACCTGGGACATAGTAGGCAAGTAATTCATATTTACTGATTACTGAACTCGACTATGTGCCTGGCACTGTGAAGACAAGAAAGAATGTCACCTTACATTTTTAGAGCACTTTCACACAACATAATTTCATCAAATTCTCAGAAAACCATGTAAGGTATCAGGACAGGTATCACCACCATTTTGTCAATGAGGAAATAAACTCAGAAAAGTTAAGTGTCTTGCCCAAGATTACAGAGCTCGTTAAGTGGTAGATTCAAATATTTCTATTTTCTAATCTGGTGACTTAAAATGTACATCTTTTGACTAAGTCCAGGGCTCTTTTCATTTTAATCTAGCTGGAAATAAAAAATATAGTAACATGAAGCAAAAGAACAAATGATTAAGTGCTAAAATGAGCAACCAATGATTAAGTGGTTTAGAGATAAAAGTACAAGCTAGCATTCATTTAGAAATTAAATTCCAAAAGTATAAGTGTGATTATTCCTAAAGAATACAAACACACTATATACATGAGAAATATCTTTTCTTCCTGACACGAAAATGGGAGGAATCCTTATTATGTAACTTACCTTGAAACTGATTTGTCTAGCAAGTTCCTTGGCTTCCTGATCAGCCTGACTTGAATCACTTCCTGACGACAAAGGCAACAAGGCGATCTTCATTGCTGAGCCACATCCCTCACAACAGAAATCTTGTGACCTGGTGAGAAATAAAAAGAATTCTAAAACAATTGCTATCTAGAATAGTCTTGCTGAATGGAAACAAAAAATAATTATATTTGACTCTAATTTCCCTTTTTTTTTTCAGGCAATTGGGGTTAAGTGACTTGCTCAGGGTCACACAGCTAGTAAGTGTCAAGTGTTTGGTCTGAGGCCGGATTTGAACTCAGGTACTCCTGACTTCAGGGCCAGTGCTCTATCCACTGCACCACTAGCTGCCCCTCTGATTCCCTTTTTACAAGGACATAAACACTGAGCAAATAAAGTTTTGCTTCAAAAGAAAAAATACTGAAAAGCTCACCCCACATAGGGACTCATAAAAACCAGAAAACATTTTCTTTGAATATGATGTACTTTTACATTTTGAGGTACATTTTAAGTCACTAAATTAGACAACTAAAATATTAATAGATTTTTTCCAGACTTCTTTTTTCCTTCTTAAGCAAGATTTGGCCACCTAAACTATGGGTTCAAAAAATTAGCAAACATTATTAAATACATTTTTTCCAATCACAATATTTTATTGAGTGATAAAACCAAACCATAAATTGAGATCTTTTCTGTTCCAAAACAAAACTATTAAGTGTAACTAACACCTATCCCCCTCAACCAAATGATAAGTTCAATAAATAGCTACATTTTTCAAACACTTCAGTAAACATTCTCATAAATACTCTTACATTTATATAGTTATATTAATGAAAGTATAAAAACCCAAGTTTACAACAACAAAAATATAATTTTCTTATCTTACAGTGAAACCCACCTTCTAGTATACAAATTTCTGAAATAAGGTTTCAACCATGGTAGATCACAGAAGATAAAAAATAATTCAGGATTTTCACATCAGAAGAGCTAGTTCCAATATTTTTCCTCCAGATGCTAATTATAGAAAAGATCTGCCAACCACAATAAGGACCTGAATGCTACCAAACTGATAAACACTTGTGTAACGCAAGTCTACAAAATACAATCTTCATTTATCTAGAGGAGAAATCATATAATTTATATTGCACTCACATTGCATATATATATTTGCCCAAATACACTACAAATGTATCAAATGTCTTTAAAAATAACCATTTTTATTGTGATTGGTCCACACACAATACAAAAGGGCACCATTGTGTACATGTGTACGTGTTTCTAGACTACATATTTAATTAGCTAACTGAAAAAAAAATATGGCTTTGCTCATCTGAAAATGAGCGGTCTAATGATCTCTAAAATCCCTTTTATCTTTGAATTACATGATCTATGACAGACTGAGAATATAAGGAGAGGTCAGAAGACCTGGGATATATTACTTACTACAAAGCAGGCAATGAACTAATATTCACTAAACTGAGTATCTTATAAGAGCTGTCATTTTACACAAGAGCCTACTAAAATCTTTTTTTTTTTGCTAGGCAACAGGGTTAAGTGACTTGCTCATGGTCACACAGCTAGTAAGTGTCAAGGGTCTGAGGCTGGATTTGAACTCAGGTCCTCAGCTGCCCCCCTTACGAAAATATTTTGCATAATGTAGGTGCTAAATGAATCAGGGGACCTGGGTTCACATCCCATCTCTGATGATCACTACGTGTGTGATCTTGGACAGGTCAGTTAACTTCCTGGGCCTTAGTTCCTAATCTGTCAAACAACAGCTTGGGACTAACATCTTTGGTTCCTTCTAGCTCTAGGTCTATGATCCTATGAATTAATTTCCCCATTATGCATGTAGTGTTACAATTTTCTCATGTATTGTTACTGTCTTAGTAACAAGACATGCCCTTTCAAAGAACCTAAGTTTTACAATTCAAAGTAAGTGGCAATTCAAAAATGTTTGAATTTTTGCAAAAGCCTTTTAGTGCCTAGGAGAAAGAACTAAGCCATTTCTGGATGGTGATGATGGCGCACTCATTGTTTGTAGACTCTGGAAAATTTTTTTTCCCAGAATCAACAGAACTGCCCTTCTTTCCATTTTACAGACTCAACTACACAATGAAATCCTGACATCAGAATTTCTTTAGCCTCTAACTGAGGGAGCAGGTGAAACTTAAGAGCAAAAGTTCATATGGCATTTATCAGCTTGACCATACCATCAGGGTTCTACTATATCTGACTGCAACATTATGAAAAAAATTCTATTCCTAGAATGAATTTAATGGAACCTCACTGAGAAGTCCTGCCAACAAAACATCAGGTCATTTACTGTTACTTTTATATGAAGTCAATTAAATAATATGAGATTTAAGAACGAGTCAGCACATGGAGTTAAAATGAAGTTAAGAAAAAACAAGCATCATTTTTTTAAGGTACATGCTTCATAGGTTTGGAAAACAACTTAAATACTAGGCAAACAAAGAATAAAATGTAAGCTACTCACTTTTTGGCAAGTGCTCTTCTTTCCTCAGGCGAGTAGTCTAAAGACCCTATGGCACCTTCTCCTTTCGTTGGCATAAATCCAATGATGGCTAACAATGCTGTTCTGACTGAAATGAACAACCCAACAGTCAATCTACATGTAAAATTAAAAAGCATTAGATTCCTACCACTGCAATAGGGGAAAAACAAACACCAACCTCTCCCTCTGACTTTTTAGGCTTACATGATGGAATACTTAAGTAAAATAAGACATCCCTAATACTCCCAATGCTGTATTTATCTGACAGCAAATGTGAAAATTGGACTAAATTTTACATTTTTTTCCTATTCATTTTTTCTATTCTATTCACATTATTTTTCTATTCTATACAATACTTAATATTGTATAGCAATCACTTTAATCTCAGAAGAAAATTAATTATTAATTATAAACTGGCAAGAAGTTCTTTAAGTAAGATTAATTATAACAATAAACTAACTTACTACTCCATGAAGGCTGCCAAGTTTCAGGATGATGTCCTGAGATGCTCAAACAAATTTTCTTGCCTACTTCAAATCTTCCATTAGCCTTAAGGAAAAAATAATTTATATTTATCACAAACATGTTTTTAAAATATTTCTTTAAGACTCTTAGTTTTATAAGTTTCTTTTAACTATTTTTATAATATTTAATTGGACTCACAAAAAATATAATGAACTGATATTATTTATCAGTATTTATTTAGCTCCTAATTCTGCATTTATCACCATATTAAGCTCTATCTAAGGGGGCACAAATAAATAATACAGTTCCTGTTTTGTGCTAAACTGGAAATATAGATTTGGGAATCACAGAACTACAGAACTTTGAACTTCAGAAGTGAAAGAAAACTGGAAACAACTTTCTAACACTGGGTCCAACACCCCTTGCCATGTTTTAAGGATAAGGAGATACTGAGGGCCCAGATCAGGTAAACAAGTCACCCATATTAACACAATCAGGTAGTGGCAGAGCAAAGAGTAGAAATCAGGTGTCCTGATTACTTAGCTCTGTGCCTTTAACCCTACTACTACACACTAGTCATCCATGAAGAGATGCTAGTTGAAGTTGCACTGGAAGATGGGTTGAGAGAATAATTATATAAAAAGCAGAAGCTTAAGACAGAACCTTAGGGGGACAGCTAGGTGGTGCAGTGGCTAGAGCACCGGCCCTGGAGTCAGAAGGACCCAAGTTCAAATCCGGTCTCAGACAAGACACTTACTAGCTGTGTGACCCTAGGCAAGTCACTTAACCCCAAATGCCTCGCCAAAAAACAAAAACAAAACAAGACAGAACCTTGGGGCATACAGCATAATTACTGTTAAGAGTTTGGCAAGAAGCAGCAGAAGCAGAAGCAACAAAAGAGGCAGTACAGAGAAGCAGAAAAGTATGTTGACAAGAGTCCATCAACCAATCAACAAGCATTTATAAATCTGATCTTCTAAGTCCTACACTCAGTGCCTTTAATATTCTTCTGAGAGGTCTGATCATATCTAAAAGTGGAAATACAAGAACTGTAAGAACTGGTGAAGAAGGGGATAATTATAGGAGTGTCTTATTCATGTTACTATCTTCACCGTTAGCAGATATGTTTAGAATTCTTCTTTTAACACATATTCCCTTTAAGTAGTTAATATAATTCTTGATAAAATGTAAACATTTTCACTGAAACTTGAAACAATTCAGGCCGTTCCCATCTTACATTTAATTCACAATACATGATTAGCTGCTGCCATCCATGTTACTAAGGAAGTTGCCCAGGCCTGGAGTATCCAAACTGCCTTTCTCTTTCTTCTCCATAACACCTCCTATGTCCCACACATATCAACACACTCAGAGCTTAAATCTTAGAGCAGAGGCTCAGGAGTTCAGAGCTCCTCACAACTCCTCAGAGTAACTAGTACTCAGGGCCACAGTCAATACCATAGTTCAGTTTCATTATAGGTAAAACAGGCTTTTGCAGATTCACATGGGAAAATAGTCATTAACACTTACTGAGAGAAAATGCATTCAGAAGTTTCTCAATACTGAAAATACATTTCAGTATTTCATATTTCAATATGAAAATACTTTCAAATACTGAAAAAGCCCAGGGATTTCACTGATTGGGAAGTGCCCTCCCACAATGCTGATTCTCAATCCTTTCATGCCTGCCTATCCTATGTTACTCTTGTCCATGTTCCCCCACAATGTAGAAGTCCACCTAATATGCTAAGGGTCTTTTCCTTGCTTTCTCTTAACAATTAAGGGGACCTAGTGGAATACTCCATCAGCTGACATTACTCATTATTACCACATGACCAGGAGAAGATCTCTTCTATGGTACAATTCCTGATCTTCTTTGGAGTTCATCACTGGTTATATGCTGTAGCCTTCTCATGCCCACCATATGTCTTTTCATTGTTCTCTACGTGATATTTACTCTTGGTTTTTTTGGAGGCAGTTATATTCCATTTCTTGCTGTCATATAGCAGCACCAGTAGAAGGTTAGCAATAAAAATGGGCTTTTGCTTTCATGGTTAACTTGTGGTCTTCAATTTCCAAAAGGCAATCCTGCCCACTTTTCTCTCCTGTTCAACTGTGGGAAGAATTTATTATCCATCTGTATTAGTTTTCCTAGAAATACATACTGATGAACATGCTTCATGGGGTGTTCACCAAAATGCTGGATAACAGACTTTATTCACGTGGTTTTTCCTATGTAAGTGGACAGGCCTAACTCCTTCAAGTGATTATAAATCTCTTCCAAGAAAGCCTTACAAGATTCTGGGGTTTGATACAAAAATAAACTGTCAGCTACAAACAGGAGCAACTGAAGGACCATCCATAGGGAATCCCTCTTTGACTTGAATTCTGATCCAGATCTCCCCTATCACCCTTATCAAGCATAGGTCTCTCTGTTTTATGTTTCCCTGATGTTTATTATCACAGGGTTATTGGGAAAGTGTTATTTCTGTTTTTCTATCTTTCGAGGAAGGGATCTTGAATGATTTTGATGTATGAGTGGGAGATACTCTGTTGTAAAAGAGCCCAAAAGGCAGTGTTTTGTTCTACCAATAAAAATTTTTAATTAATAAATAAAAAGCACAACAGCATCTTATATTCTCTACAGCTTTCAACTAATAAGGAAACGGCAAAGATGTGGGTCCATGGCTGATTATAACCTGAGAAAATCCACTTGTTACCTATGAGGAATTTCATCAAGAATCATCCTGATCAAGAATTTTTAGAATCATAAAAATAAATATACAACAACTAAAACAAAATGTATGGAGAGAATAATAAAATGAAATTCACCTCTCATGACTAAACCTGAAAAGCATCTCTCTCTTTTTATTGGAGAGGTGGGTAACTACAATGGGTGCAAATAATGCTGGCTTATCAGCCTAGGTTGGTATCAGTCAACAAGCACTTATTAAGCACAAAGTAAAGCACAGAGAATACAATGAATACAATGAAAGGCAAAAACACAGTCCCTACCCTCAAGGAGCTCATATTCTAATGGGGGAGACAACATGCAAATAACTATGTACATACAATATATATATATATATATATATACAGTTTAAATAGAAGGTAATAGCAGAGGGAAGGTACTAGCAGCAAGAAAGACCAACAAAGGCCTCTTGCAGAAGGCAATATCTAAGCTAGTGAAAAGATATGAAGCTTGAAAAAAGCCACAGAAGCAAAGAGGAAGAGGTAAGGAGAGAGCCTGGTCCAGATTTTTTTTAGGAGGTGGAGGAGAGCCAATGCAAAGGCAGAGTCCAGGAAACAGAACCGTATGTGAGGAATAGCAAACAGACCACTGCAGCTGGATCACAGAGTGTATGAAACAAAGTGCAAGACTGTAAAGGAAGGGTTGAGGTTGTAAAGGTCTTTAAATGCCAAACAAAGGATCTTCTATTTCATTCTGGAGATAAGAGGGAACTGGTAGAGAAATGAGTAGAGAAATGACATGGTCAGGCCTGTCTTCAGGAAAACTACTTTGGCGGGTAGCTAGGTGGCGCAGTGGATAGAGCACCAGCCCTGAAGTCAGGAGGACCTGAGTTCAAATCCGACCTCAGACCAAACACTTAACACTTACTAGCTGTGTGACCCTGGGCAAGTCACTTAACCCCAAATGCCTAAAAATAATGGGGGGGGGAAGGAAAACAACTTTGACAACTAAGTAGAGGATGGAGTGGGGAGTGACTTGAAACAGACACTTGAAGCCAAGTAGAAGACTATGGCAAGAATCCAGGGAAGCAGTGATAAGGGCCTATCTATTAGGGTAGTGACTATGTAAATGGACAGTCAGAGATATAGAAATGTCAAGATATGACAACAGATTTGATATTGTAGGGTGAGAATAAAGAGTTTAAGATAACACCTAGGTGGCAGGCAGTTAGGTGGCGCAGTGGATAGAGCATCGGCCCTGGAGTCAGGAGGACCTGAGTTCAAATCCACCTCAGATGCATAACACTCACTAGCTGTGTGACTCTGCGCAAGTCACTTAACCCCAACTGCCTTGTGGAAAAAAAAAAAAAGATAACTTGGGTTTCAAGCGTGGCTTACTAGAAAGATAGCAGTACCTCAACAGTAACAGGAAAACTGGGAAGAGAAAGAGGGCTTGGGGGAAAAATAATGAGTTGTTTTGGGCATTTGAGTTTGATATGCTTATAACGGTATCCAATTTGAGACATCCAAAAGACAATGTATGATATGAGGACTGTAACTCTCAGAGAGATATTAGGACTAGATATACAGAATCATCTACAGAGATATAACTGAACCCCAAGGGAGCTAATGAGATCACTAAGAAAGATTAGTACAGAAGGAAAAAAGAAGGCTTAGGCTACTAAAGATTTACTGGGTAGCTTCTAGATGAAGATTCAGCAAAGGAGACTGGGGAGTGGTCAGACAGGAAGAAGACCAGGAAATAGTATCACAATAATCTAGAGGGGAAAGAATATCTGAGAGGCTGACTGACAGTATCAAATGTTAGAAAGGTCAGTAAGGATTAGGCCAGAGAAAAGGCCACTAGATTTGAAAATTAAGAGTATATTAGTGACTTTGGAGAGAGTAGTTTCAGAAGACAGGCTGAAGAGGAAGCAGAAAGATGAAGTGCAAATGGTTTTTTCAAAGCATTTAGCCAGAAACGGAAGAAGAAATATATGACAATAATGATTAGGGATGGTGGGTATCAAGTGAGGGTTTTTCTAAGGATGGAGGAGACTTGAGCACGTTGTTAAGCAACAGAGAAGAAACCAATAGACAGATACTGAAAATTAGAGAGGTTGAGGATGATGGTGGGGGCAATCTGGAGTAGACAGGAAGAGAGAGGACCAAAGAACGTTTAGAAGGCAAGGGGAAGGGCTGCCTGTGGTTTTGCTTATTTCTTTTTCTTTTGTTAAAAAGGCAGATTCACAGAGAAATGGGTTAGATATTAGGAAATAGCTGGTGCAAAACCAAAAAAGAATCAATAAAACTTCGAAAAGAAAACTGATCCTTGCCTAGGTTTCTCAGCCTTCTCCCTCCAGTGCATTCAAAATTCTAAACAACTGACTTACAAATAATGCTATGTAAACAAAAACAACCTGTTAACAAATTAAGGATTTACATACAGGATGTGCCAAAAGTCTTAGTGCAGTTTTAAGCTTTTAATACTTTAACTGCACTAAGACTCTTGGGACAGCTTATAGTTTAGAGATTTTAAACTTAATAGTGAGTACTACATAAAAATTCCATTCAACAAATATTTATTAAATTTATTAAATGCCTGGAACATACAGAGCATTTTGCTAAGATACAAAGATATCTCTGCCCTCAGAGTTTATATACAACCTAGTATGGAGATCTATCACATATAAAGGTGACTATAATACAGAATAATGTATAAATGAAAAAGGAAAATGCAAGCAAAGGAGATTTAAGCCTAGGAGAGACAAGTCATTTCCAATTAGAAGGGTGATGCTGGTGAAGGCTTTTTGGGAGGACTAGGCATTTGATTTAAGTTTGATAGAAGAGGAGGGTCATTCCTAACTTAGGGAACACATAAGCATAAAGAGAGGCTAGAAAGTTGAGTCAGGGAGTGGGGGTGGAGGTGGAGGCAATAAGTCATCAACCAGTTTGCTTGGTGTAAAGGTAACATTCATTTTGCATTCACAATATACAGAGCACTGTACCTGGCACTAAAGAAATTAAGAAATGGTCCCTTTTGCTAAACTTTTTTCCCTGCTTTCTTAATCCTTGTTTCAAGGGAACAAATATATTCCTCCCCCAAAACACTCCCATTGGGTAGGCAGGAAGAGGGATGTATTTGGAAAACAAAAGGTCTCAAAAAAAAATTTTTTTTTGAAGAAATGATCTCTCCCCTCAAAAAGTTTTCAATCTAAAAAAGGATAAGACAGCAAAATAATATTACATAGTAATACAGATAACATGTAAATATTTAAGTACATACAAGATGATTTTAAGAGAGAACAGTAACAACTAGAGAGATCAGGAAAGGCTTCTGGGAAGTAGGATATGAGCTGCACCTTGAAAAAAAGGTAAGGAATACTGTTGTTATTCATCCTTCATTTTCGAAAAGGACCTATGACATCATAGGTGATGTCATGACTTGCACGTGAACTGGATTTCAAGTGAGGCAGAGTTGCACAAAGTTGTCAGCCTTACTCTCTCTTTCTGAGTCATCGAAATTCAGTGGCAGGACAAAAGTCAAGACAACTGGCGATGAAGTGGGTGACCCTGGAACTTCTTTGATGCCTGACCAAGGTCTAAGTGCTCCACAGTACCTGCTTCAGCCTCCTTCAAGAGACGCTGGAACAAACTGTTTTCATCTGTCCATTCTGCTGGGGAAAGTCTTCACATGATTGGGATAGACATCCACCTAACCCACCGACTGGCTTGAGGTCTACTGGTTACCCTCAGCCTGGTTTAGTCCATCTGTTCAGACAGTTTTACCAGGGTGTGGCCACTGCACATGCTGTAGCTTCTTGGAGCCATGAGTGAGAGTTGAGTAAAAGGTAGATAACTAGCCCTGAAAAGGGCTCTGAAAGTCTTCATACACCCCAGAAGGGAATATAAGAGAGGCAAGGAAAAGATGTGTTCTGAGTGGACTGATGGGCAGAGAGAAGAGAGGCAAGAAAACCCTTTCTGAAGGTCTCTCTGAATATCTAGGTAGCTGGTAATGAGAGCTTAGAGTAGAAACAGAGAGGAGAAGACTCTTTTTTTTAAATCATAAAGGTTTTCAATACTTTTCCACACCTTGGGGGAGGAAACTGAGCCTGTGATTCCACTGGTGTAATGATCTTCAAAGGCAGAAACCTCATCCACCAATGCAGATCAACAACTTGTTCAACAGGCTTAGGTAGCTGCCTATCTCATAGGAAGCTTGAGTAACTTGCCCAGGGTCATATAGCTCTATGTGTCAGAGGCAGAATTTGAACCCAGGCTTGATCCATTTATACCATTCTACTTGTCTTTCTGTTATTTCTTTTGCTAAATCAATTCCTGTGACTTCCAGGCTCATTTCTGGTTGGTTCACTGTTTGTAAACAAACCAGATCTGAAGAACAGAAAAATGTTCTTTTATAAGGTACAAATAAGTACTTAGCATGTTACTAGATACCTCAGTTTTGAAGGAATTTCTTAGGCAAAACTATGAGCCCCAGGGCTTGCTGACCATGGTCAGAGGGTCTAAAACCCAAGGACAGAATTCAACTGAGGCTCTAGTGTATTATATGATGAAAAAATCTATAGTGACCTTACAGACATACTCTGAACTATTAAATCAGAGCATGCCAAAATTAAGTTTTCCAAAATACATGATATATACTTTGCATAAATTTTGTTCAACTTTGAATTTGCCTGAATTTTTAAAATATATTTGCTAATCTTTAAGAGAATTCTATATATCTTGCCACGTAATACAAAAATTATGTGGACAACTTATTAAAATAATCAAGATAGTCTAATTACTCAATTCTAATTACTCACAACAAACGAATTCTTAAAATCTAAACATACTTACTGTTAACAGAATAATGCTTGGCGGTTTCATAGGATATTCTGGTGGCAGTACTATTCGTCCATGATAAACTCCTCCATCAAAATCAGAATCTGGGGGGCCCCTAACAGTGAAGTGCCATTCAAAAAGGTTATCCTAAACAAAACAATCATATATGACTATGAAACATTACCAAGAATATAAGAACAAGTTCATTATTTTTCTGAAATAAATATCAAGATACCTTACATAATACCAGGCTTCTAGGGTATAATGATGCACATTTAAGGTTATTTTTTAACAATGAAAGGGTACTGAGGCTCATCCCTGATATATATCACCTTTATTCCATAAAACAAAGTAGTAATACTTATCATTATTGGTGGTCACTTACGTAGTACCCAGGTTCTGGTGTCTATGCCTGATAAAGCATCCTCCACCAAAAGAACAGTGACTCCTTGCAAGTGTCTCACTGTTATCAGATTAGCACATATAACATAACTTAACAAATAACATAATATTTGTAAAGCACCGTGCCTAGCACATATTAGGCACTTAATAAATGACTGATCCTGCCCTTCCCCAATATAAAAACCTGAAGGATGAAGTCAAAGGGAAACAGAAGACTTGAATAGTGGCACAAGAAATATCATTCTATTGAGGTTTAAGTAAAGAAAGAAGACAAACTATTTGATACAAGTGAAGGAGATCTATATGATCAACAAGCATTTATTTAGTGCCTACTTCACGCCAGTGTGCTTAGTCCCCACTGTCACAGATCTTACATTCTATCAGGGGGAACTAATATGTATACATATAAACAGATAACAAGCAATTTGAGGGAGGAGGAAATCAGCAGCTAGAAAGATTAGGAAAAGCTTCACATAGGAACTGGCATTTAAACTAAACTTTGAAGGTAGCTGTAGGTTCTAAAAGCTATCGGTAAGAAAGGATTACAATCATTGGGGACAGCCAGTACAAAGCACAGACAGTAGTAGAATATCTTGTGAAGAGTGTAAGACATTATGAGAAATCAGACTCCTTACTTAAAATTATAATCCTGCCTGAGATTGAAGTATCGCATTCTAGCAAAGCAGTCAAATTTTGTATGCTTCAATTACCAATATATGAAACACAAATTTCCCATCCCAGAATGAAAGGTTTAATATTTGAAACATTTTAACATGTAATACAATCTACTTTTCATTAAAAGTTTAAAAAGCTTCTTAATCAGGTGATATTTCATGATACATGCTATCAACCTCCTGACACAGAGGTGAGAGATTCAAGATGCAGAAAGACATGTACATTTTTGTACACAGACAATTGCGTGACTATACATTTGTTGGAAGGTTTTTGTGTTTTCTTTTCTTCTAGTGTAAGAATGAGATGGGAGCAAGAGAAAATTAATGCTTGCTAATTGGGGGGGGGGGAGGATCAAATATTGGAATGCTATGTTCCTTCACCACTCAGAAACTTCTCCTTTAAAGTTCACTCCATCCAAATACAAGGTGTGTCCCAAAAGTCTTCAAGCAGTTTTAAGCTTTAATAGCTTCAAAGACGTTTAGGACACCCTGAATATCAACCAATCTAGCTATCTACTGGCCTCCAGGTTAGTTCCCCCCTTTTCTCAGAGTTCAATACCTAGCTCAAAGTATTCTTCTCCACACCAATTCCTGCTCTCATATTAGTAAATTTCATCATTAATGTCAATGTTGCTTACAAGGTCTTCAATCTTATTCTCCCCCTGCCCATGACCTACTTCCTCTAATCCACCTCACCCATATACATTGATAGTCACACCCTTGACCTGAAATGTTCTACTTCGAAAATCAAGAATTCAGAAATTCCTTTATCTAAAAGTAAACTATAATTCCATATTTCCTTATGCCTCACTCTTCCTAGACCTATGCTTCCTCCTCACCATGACCTCTAGTTCCTCTATTCTTCAGTACCGCTACTAGGCCAGGACCCCATCTACAACTTCATTTTCCTCCTTTCCTGATTTCAACCCTATACTTAACCAGTTCCATATTACAAAGAACTGTAATATTACAAGGAACTCTCCAATCCCCTGCTCACTTGTGCTAACACTGGCTTGTGTCTTATTAAACCCCAAACCTGGATTATGCCCAATATGTACCCTTTTCCCTAATATTAACATGTTGCTGAATGGTACTGAAGGAAATCAAGCAACCATGCTGACTTGGTCCACTATCAATTTATGTTATTTAATCTTAACTGGATCACACTCCTCATTGCAGCAAAGCAATCCTATTACTCCTCCTTAATTTATTCTAGCTCTATTGTGCACCCTTTGGCAACCATTCCAAACTTTCACTTCTCTCAAGTTTTCCATACCACCTTCTCCACACCATCAGCTGACACTGTACTAAGAAAATACTGACCATTCACCCTGAGTTCCCTCTTTTTCCTTTTTCTACATCTCAAAACTCTCTGGCATCATCTCCTATTCTCTCCTCCTAATCTCTAAAGAAAAGACCCTTTTGCATCAAGGGCAAGCCTTTATATGTACTTTTGAGCTCATTTCCTCCTGTTGTCCTTCATTAGAGAGCCCCAACAATCATTTCCCTTCTCTCTCTCCAATCTTCAATCTCTTCCTACATACTTGTTCCTTCCCTGCTGCCTACAAACACACCCAGGTCTCCTCCAGTCTTAAAACTCATCATCACTTTTCTATTATCCCCCTCAAGCTATCATCCTATAATTCCCTACCCCTTTAGGGCCAAGCCCCTAAAAAAAAGCTGTCTGCACTCATTGTCTCCAATTCCTCTCTTCTTACTCATTTTTCAATCCTTTACAATCTCACTTCTGACTTCCTCACTAAAGTGAAACTGTTCTATCCAAAAGTAACAATGATCTCTTAATTGCCAAATCCAATGATTTTTTTTCTTAATCATCTTTTTTGACCTCTCTAAAGCATTTAACATGGTTAAGTACCCTCTCTAATTCTAGGTATTCTTCTCCTCTCTGGGTTTTTGTGATAATGCTCTATCCTGGGTCTCCTTCTAATTGTATAACTGCTCCTTCTTGGTCTCCTTTTTTTAGATCATTAATACTATACCTTCCAAGACCTTCCTCTATATACACTGTCTCTCTTGGTGACTTCATCAGATCCTATATGTTTAATTATAATTTCTATTATAATACTTAGGTCTACATAACCAAAATGGTCTCTCTCCCAAGCACTAAAGTCAAATCACCAGCTGCCTATTGAACATCTCCAACTGGATTTCCTATCTCAAATTCAACCTATACAAAATGGAACTCATACAACTTTGACAAAAAACAATCCTTCTCCTAAACTTCCCTATTTCAGTCATGGGCACCACCACCCTTATGGGCAACACTCAAGCACACAAACTTAGAGTCATTCTTAATTCCTCCTCCCTCTCCTCTACCCCAAATATCCAATCAGCTGCCTAGTACTGTCCATTCTATTTTCACAGTATCTCTCATTATTAGTTCCTCTCCAGTTCCTCTCTTGTTCAGGTCCTCATCACCTGGCACTTGGATTATCGCAACAGCTTCCTAAGCAGTGGTCTTGCTTCAAATATTTCCTCTCTAATCCCTCCATATAACTGCCAAAGTGAAAGCTCAGGTCTGACCATGTCATTCTCCATTCAATATACTAACAGTGGCTTCATATTACTCTAAGAATCAAAACAAACTCCTTTTGGTGTTAATGCCTTTCACAACCTTTCCAGTGAAATAGATACACTATTTCCCTTAATATGCACAATGGTATAGCCAAAATGGTATTACTTTTTTTCATACATGACTTTCTATCTATCTCCATGCACAGACTGTCTACCATGCCTAGAATATACTCCCTCCTCACTTCTGCCTCCTAGGATTCCTAGTTTCTTTAACAGTATCTTATGCAGAATTACTTGACTTTGCTTATTGAGATTAAAAGGTCACACTATGGTCCTTTTAACCTGTTTAGTTTTCCCTTTAAAAATATACAGAATCACAGAATTTGAGATTTAGAAGGAATGATTTAGGCCAGTCCATTCATAAAAGGAATCCCTACTCTAACATACCCATCAAGTGCTCATTTAGTCTCAAAAGCTGGCAAATACTGGGGAGCCACCATCTCTTGAGGCAATCCCCTCCACTTTGGGACAGTTAGTTCCAACTGTTAGATTAGAGGTCTATGACCTTGGACCATTCTGTGATATTGTCATTCTTTTTTTTTTCTTTTCTTTCTATCTGTGTGTATACATGTGTATGCATACATATATAAAGATTCTATGAAATATATTCTTCTTTTCTTTTAGTATTAGAAAGGGGCGTAAATACCCTTTATTTCAACTTATACCTGAGCAGACATCTCCTTTATAGCACTTCTAACAACACCTCCAGTGTTGGTGAGCTCACTAGGGAGCTTATTCCCCTTCTGGATAATTCAAATGATCAGTTTTTCATTTTCCTGTAGTATGAAATACATTCTTAAAGGGAAAGCTAAACAGGTTAAAAGAACCAAAGTTAGATTTCTTATCTTCATAGCAAAGACAAGTAATTCTATACAAGAATATGTTAAAGAAAGAAAAGCAAATTTTAAAGAAATTATTTTTAAATTATTAAAAATGGTTATTAAAACACTCAAGTGTTTTAAAACACATTGTTTTAAAGTGCTGTTTAAAGTGTATTAAAACACTAAAGTGACCTAAAAATGTGAAATAGCATATGTAAAGTCAAACATTCTAGGTTTCAAGTCCCAATCCTGCCACTTATGAACTGTATTACCTTGGGTGAGTCATTAAACTTCCAAGGCTATTTCCTCATCTGTAAAAATGAGTAAGATACTATTGATCTTTGAGGACTGTTGGATGGAACATGTTCTGTAAACTGTCAAACCCTCTATAAATGTGAGCAACTTAGATTATTATGAGTATTGGAAAACTCACCTCTAAAGGTTGAGCATGGTAGTGATCTGTAGGATCTTTCAATTCTGCTGCTTCTTTCATTAAACGTTTGACAGCTGAAATGAAATTTTGCAAATTAATACAAGAATCTTTAAAATACCTCAAAAAACCTCTCAGTACTGAAAAATGACAATGGGAATGAATGTAAAATCTTGCATTTGGGTATTAAAAAAAGTATGAAGTGGAAGAGGCTTGGGTAAAGAACACTTGTGAAAAAGATCTTGGGGTTTGAGTAGACAGGAAGTTCAATGAGTTAGCAGGGGTAAGTGGCAGACAAAAAGGCTAACAAAATCTTGGGCTGCATTAATGGGGGCGCAGCTTCTAGGAATAGAGAAAGGATAGTCCCACTGTGTTCCATCTTCATCCAACTTCACTTGGAGTTAATCTGTTCGTTTCTGAGGAGCATCATTTAGGAATGGCATTGAGAAACTGGTAAATATCCAACAGGGCAACCACGACAGTGACAGGCCTTGAGTCTATGGCATAAGAGGACAGGCTGACTGAACATGTTTAGCACAGAGAAGAAAAGACTCAGGAAGGACATGGCAGGTGTCTTCAAATTTTCAAAAAAGTTGTCATATGGAAGAGACAAAAGCAATTTGTAAAGCTGCAAAAAGGCAAATTTAGGCTTGCAAAACTTCCTAAAATTAAAGTTGCCCAAAAGTGGAATGACATGCCCCAAGAGGTCATGGATTGTCTTCTTAAATGCTTTCAGGGGGAGAGTGGAGGACCACTTCTTGGATACAGTGGAGATAACTTTTATGCATGAGTTAGACTAAATATCCACTGAGATCCACCCAACTTTCAAATTCTGCAGTTCTGTGACCCTTGCCAGAGAAACAGGATATTCAAGAGCCATACTGATTTAAAATAAAAACTCACTTACAAAACCTTACAAAGAAGGATGGTGCAAAGATTATAAACCTAATCTCATAAAGGAGAAACAGTGAAGGGAAAAATAAACTTAAAGAGTCTAGCCATGCTGATTCTCAGATCACCCCAAGACTTCTAAAGATGAAACTGGAAAGATGACAACAAACACGTGAAAAATAAAAAAGATCTGTCAACATTTCTATAACAAACTATTTTCACCATCACTAAGAGTGGAAAAAGTCATTACATTTGAATTTAAATATCTCAGTGCTCAATGTGCTATTTTAAAAACTGGAAATAGCACTAAAGATAAGGAAGATGAGAAATCCTGATAGAACAGACCATGTATAAACAGAGACAGTCTGTGGTAGAGATGACATCATTTTGAGGAGACTAGAGGATTAATTTTCAAGATATATGAGAGTGGAAGAATATTCCCATGAATGATTGGAAAAAAAAATCATCAATGGCAACACTACTAAAAACAGATAATCATGAGGACATCAAGATAACTGCACAGCCATATACCTACTTTCTCATATCTACAAAATTGTTCCAAGACTGATCTAGACCCAGGTTTCTTCACCTTTTTTATATCATGGAACCCCCTGGGAGTCTGGTGAAACCTATGGATCACCTTGTCATAATGTTTTTAAATCCACAGGATTACAAAGTAAACCAATCACACTGAAATAAAGACAAATTTTTTTTTCCTATCCAAATTCATCAACACCTTGAAGTTTATGCACAGACCCAAAAGGGGTCTCCCAGGTTAAGAACCTCTGATTTCTACAAACATACTGAAAGTGCCCTTGATAAAAATAAGGGAAGAGGAAAGCTTTTGAAAATGCTTATCTATAATATACTATTTTTATATCACATAATTGATTGAAAAATGCAGAAAATGCAAGATATCACTGGGTTTAGTGTTTGAAGACTTAAAAAATTATATTAGAATCAATGAAACAAAATGCAACCTAAAAGATTCTCTTCCATCAAGATATCCCCGTGACTGCCCTCATCTCAACTTTTAGCATCCTTAGCTTCCTTCAAAGCAAAGTTCCGGTACCAGTTGCTACACAAAGCCCTTCCCGTGTCTCTCAGTTGTAAATGGTTTTTACTTCTTAAGATTATTTTATATATACTCTTTGTATACACATCTACGAATAAGTCCTCCTTCCCACTCCCAACCCAAATATAAGTCAGTGAGTATTTACTAGGCGCCTACTCTGTGCCAGGCACAGTGCTAAGCACTGAGGCTACAAAGGCAAAAACTCCCTCAAGGAGTTTACAACCTCATGGGGGAGATAATATGCAAACAACAACAACGTATAAAACCAGGAGGCTGCTGTAATAGTCTAGTTGTGAGGTAATGAGGGCCTGCACCAGAATGGAGGCAGTGTCAGAGGAAAGGGGGTGAGAGATGTTATAAAGAACACTGACAAGAGTTGGCAACAGACTGGATAAGACAGCTGGCGCTGAGAGTAAGGAGTCGAGGACGATACTTAGGTTTCAAGCCTGAGTAACTGGGGAGATAGTGGTATCCTCCACAGTAATAGGAAAATTTAGAGGAGGGGAGGATTAGGGGGGAAATACAATGAGTTCAGTTTGGGAGACACTGAGTTTAAGATGTCTATGGGACATCCACGCTGAGATATCCAATAGCTAGAGATACAAGACTGGAAACCAGAAGAGAGGTCAGAGCTGGTTAAATAGATCTAAGAATCATCTCCACTGAGACAATAATCCACGGGAACTAATGAAATCACCAGCAAAATAGTACAGAGGGAACAGATAAGAATTTAGCAAGCATTGCCTGGATGAAGATCCAGCAAAGGAGACTAAGGAACTGTCAGATGGGTAGGAAAACCAAAAGAGGGAGAGTTAGCAGGAGGAGAAAGTGGTCAATAATGTCAAATGCAACAGAGAGGTTAAGGACAATGAAGCCTGAAAAAAGTCATTAGATTTGGCAATTAAGAAATTTTTGGAGAAAGGGGTTTCAGTTTAAAGATAATGTCAGTAGCCAGACCTTGGAGGGTTAAGAGAGTGAGGGGAAAGAAGTGGAAGAACTGAGTATAGATGACCTCAAGGAATTTTGCCAGGAAAAGGAAAATCTAAACACCTTGAGGACAGGTGCTATTCTTTATCTTAATATCTCTGTTCCCTAGTACAGTCAGCACATCGTGGGTGCATAGTAAATGTTAGCTAAATTGAATCAAATAATCACCCGAATTTGAAAGACAAGAAGGACACTGAGGCTCATATTATTTGCCCAACATCATATAGCTACTCCACATTGCTAAAAAGCAACGGAGTTGGGGCAGCTAGGTGGCACACTGGATGGAGCTCTACCCTTGGAGTCAGGAGGACCTAAATTCGAATCTGGCCTCAGACACTTGATATTTAATAACTATGTGACCTTGGGCAAGTCACTTAATCCCGACTGCCTCACAAAAAAAAAAAGAGTTAATTATTAATTTTAAACCTAACAGGAAAAAGGGAAGCAGATACTGATGGGTTTAACCCAGACCTAACATTTTTAATCTCAACTCTGTCCTTTTAAAAAGATTGTTGATAGAAAGTTCTGTGAGATTTGGTTCACAACTGCTTTCCAATAATGATTTTCCTTCTCCACAAAAAAAATTTACTATAAATGTAAAACAAGATAATAAAATATTATTAAAAATATCATTAATATAATGGCTGAGGCAGAACCAATTTGGTTGGCATACCTCTCGCCATTCTAAAACCAATATATTCATATATAATATCTATATGTATATGTACATGTACATGTGTGTATACGTACACACACACAAATACACATATAAACAAACACACAAGCTGATAAGCTAATCAATGCCTTAAGAGAAGTGGAAGGAAAAACTCTCCACACTTCTTTTACCATTATCTTATTCTGCCCTCAACACCTTTCTGAATGACATTAGAATTCCCCTTTTTTCTTTTCTCCAAGTTCAAACAGGCAACATGAAGTCAAAGTAAACTGCGTCTTTTGGCTAATGTAATTGAAACACATACTGCATTGTGTACCATCATCTGAGGAATGACTGAACAAGTTATGACATGTAAATATACTGGAATATTACTAAATGCATAAAAAATTATGAAAGAGGGTTCAGAGAAATCTAGGAAGAACTGTATAAGTCAGAGTGCAAAACCAGGAGAACAATTTGTAAACAAAACACTGTACAGACAAAAAACTTTCAAAGACTTGAGAACACTCATCAATGCAATAACCAACAATTCCAGAAGACTGATGACGCCTGACATAGAGGTAACGGACTCACGATACAGAATTAGACACTACTTTCTGGACACAGCCAACACTGGAATTTGTTTTTCTTGACTATGTTAGGTTGGTTTTTTCAGAGGAAGAGGAGATAGAGAGATATAATAAATGCTTGTTAATTAAAAATAATACAATACAACAATATAATTTTTAACATCTGTATTACAGACCCACAAGATTTTAGAGCTGGAAGGCACCTTGGATAATCCAAGGGTCCCTTCAAGCTATGATTTTTATGAACCATGTCATTTTGTGGAAGAGGTCCTTGAGGCCCAGAGATATGAGGTGATTTACTCAGTCATGTACATAATAAATGATCAAGAAAACAGTTCAGCTGGGACTCAACCCAGGTCTTCTGCCGACGATCCAGAGTTTCCCCCCAACCCCAAAAGCTGACACAGTAGTGAGAAAAAAAAAAGCCAATTGCTTTAAAATTGTTTGATTTTTTCTATCATAACCAGAATCAAAATTATTAAAATTCAAAATAACACACGGACTTCAAGAAGAATCTGTAATTACACCAATTAATCAACAAGCATTTATTAAGCATTTACTATGTTCCAAGCAATTTGCTAGGTGCTGTGGATTCAAAAACTTATCTAAACAGTCCCTGCCCACAAGGAGCTTGCATTCTATCTGGGAAACAACATGTATACATAAAAATATATAAAATAAATACAAGGCAATTTTAAGGGGGAAAGGGCACAAGCAGTTGGGAGGATCAGGAAAGGCTTCTAGAACATGGCATTTGAGGTGAGTTTGGAAGGAAAATAAACATTCTAAGAGATGGAGATGAGGAGGGAGTGTATTCTAGGGTATGGGAGACAGCCAGTGCAAGGGCAGAGACAGGAGTAGGACAATCTGTCTGAACTG